TCCACCAGAGGGAAAGGGAAGCTCCCGCTGACCCCCTGGGATCTCCCCAGCCAAGCCCTCTGTTTCCCAGCTGACAAACTTTCCCCCTTGGTCTGACACAATGGAGAAGCTATCTTTGCCCCATGGCATCCTCAGAGGGCAAGGAAGGTCAGTGCTGTGCCAGGAGCACCAGTGCCACTGCCAGGCTTCAGCGCCCTGTGGGCAGAGCCAGCAGCTCGTGGCTGCCCCAAGGATCCCACCTGCTGAAATATTTTGGTCAGATTTGCCATCTGATACAGCTGGGTTTTGCAAAGCTTATTGGATAGGCTTAGCCTAACTGCTGAAGCGCTCAGTTGGTCCAGCTGGGATAATTAAATTAGTTAACTCTGCAGTTGTAAGCCAGCAATTTCAGGCACATCTACTGCAAAGGAAACACATGTGTGTGTCTCACGTCTCTGGGTGAAGGTGTCCATCTGTGTCTTACAAGAGCCTCACCGGAGCCTTGAGGGAGCAGCTGAAGGACAGAGATGCTAGAAAACACTGATCCAGCCCAGCCGTCAGCTCTGCTTCAAGCCTCAAGGTCCCGCTGTCTCCTCGTCGTGTCCCCTGTCCCACACAAGGCCGGAATGCAAGGCTGGGGAGGGACTGAGGAGGGAGTTGAGGACTGCACTGTGTGCAGCCCCTCGCCCACCATCATGGCTCTGCGCCACCCATCAGACCTTTTCCTCCTGAAAGGTGGAAACCAGAGCCCGGACACTCTCCTCCTTCCCTATCCATCACATGAACCTTATACATCAGCACAAAAAGCACTTGCAGGCACCCTTCCCGGAGGCGGTGACCTCCTGCAGAGACCCCAGGCAGCACCAGGAGTGCTGTGTGGAGAGAAGGGTCTGCACCTCTCTCCTGCTTAACAGCTACTGCCGCACAGCCCGCAGCCCTTCTGAAATTTGATTACATCTGCTCCGGTGACACACTACTGCTTTTAGCATCCTGGTTATTTTGTAACTGCGAGCACTTGTTTGTGCCATCCCCACTTCTCAGCCCGTTTCCGTTTACTGCTTCTCTTCCACATTTCCACTGACGGCTGAAAATCATGAAGCTCACTTCGGATTAACCTGGTGAGAGGATTTAAGAATGGCTTGCAAATGGTTAGGGATTTGGGGAAGGGATGACACCCCGAGGCTGCTGGGGGGGACAGAAAGCAAGACCCCCTTCTGAGTGCATGGTCTGTGGGAGCCGGTGGCCCAGCTCCCAGTGGTCCAGAGAGGTTTCCAGGCAGGATTCAAGCCTTCTGTGCTCCCCAAGTATGCTCAAGAAGGGCAACCTGCCGGGCCTTGCTGTACCTTCATCCTTCTGAACCTGGGTCTTAGGCAGGTTTGTGTCAGTCCTTCTTTACTCATGTATTAGCCCCTAATACACAGGTCTGACACACAAGTCCAACAGCCAGATGCTGAGATTTGTTAGATCCTTTAGCCTCATCCTCCGCCCCTGCTGGGGGCACCCCTGTACCCCACAGGGTCCCTGCCGTGGGGATGTGGGATGGAGAGCCGTCCAACGCAGGAGCCAATGTGGGGACTCGGCCGTCAGGGTTGCTCTTGTTTAGACTGTTTCGCTGGGGCCAAGACCAACCCAAAGAGGTGGGTTAAGAGGTGCAGGATGCCATCCTAACCTGCGATTCTGTTCCTCAGACAAGGGACTGAACCAAGTGCACAGGCATGCTGTGCCTGTGAAGCCTCACGCAGACCTCGGCAGGGACCTGGAAGGGCTGGAGATGAGCTACAGCTGGTGCTAAACCCCCGATGGGCACCAAGGGAGCCAGGAAGGAGCATCTGTGGGCTCACCAGGCCGGAAGACCAGCTACAAAAAGAGGCTTTGCAGGGCCCGGCGCAAGTCTTTTATTCCCCAAAGTCTGCAGAGGAGAGCACTCACAGCAAAATCAGCTGGACATGATGCCCCATCTGCTCGGAGCTGTGCTGGGGCTGCCTCCCCACCAGTGGGATCCGTTTAAAGGTCTGCCCTACCTGCCACACTGCCTCCGTGCCCTTCGTTTGCAAAGGCCGGCAATTAAAGAGCAGAAAATCACAAGGAGCCTTTGGAAAAAAAGGAAAAAAAAAGGCTTCACTGGCATTTCATTCATTTCATTGGCATAAACTCATTAATTCTTTTAATGAGGGATCAAAGCCTCGGAGCTTGCCACGGCTGCGGCCATGGGAAGATCGATCCCTGCTCCCCCATGCTCTCCTTTGGTGCCCCTGCAAGCTGGCCCAGAATGAAGCGATGAGCAAAGAAGAACAGATGACTTCTGCTCTGCCCTCCCAGAGCCTCCAAAATGCTCACCTTACCATGGCGCAAGCACCGCTCGGAGACGGTAACCATTGCACAGGCTCTCAGAATAGCCAGGTGAATAAAAATAGTCCCGTCCCTTTGATCTCTTCCCTTTGTTCAGCCGTGAGCACTCCAGCAGATGCAGCTGGGGCACACGTGCATCATACCGAGGCTTTGCAACTCATTCAATGTTTTGGTGTCATCCCAAAAGGTCTTGATGATCACCTCCACCTCCTCCCGAGGTACTGAGCAGCTTGTCTGGAGGGATATGATTGGCACGTTCAGCCTTGCAAGACCAAACCACTGGTCATGGCAAGCAGACACCCCAGTGGGCAACTGAACCAAGGTACTCGCTGGCACGTGCACAACCGGCTCCGTGCGCACAGATATTGCATTGGATTTTGTTACCTGTGCACCCACGCAACCACACATGCTACCAACATGTCTCCATGCCAAATTACCCCAATGCAGCAAAACCCAGGGATACGCAAAAATGACCCTCTGCACGGCTCCTCATCAACCTTTGCACACATGCCTCTGTGTGTATGCAAACCCCCACGAGAAGTACAAATGCAAGTTACGCTTTGCATTTCCAAATACAGCCCCAGAAAATGCCGTCGGAGGAAATGTGGATGAGGAAGATTTCCCTGGCCACTGCTGGGCACGCAGAAAGAGGAGCAGCCCATTTCCCAGCCCCAGCATCTGTGCTTGGGGCCGCATCCTTCCCCCTTTTTCCCTGGCCGCTCTGCACCGTGGGCACCAGCAAATGCACCTGGTCGGCCCATTTCCGCAGCCACGGACCTCCTCTCACGCCAGCAGGTTAGTAACAGAGACTCGAGGAAACCTGCAGTCATCAGCATGCGGTGGCAAAGGCAGTTTTAACACGCTGGTTTTAAAGTGAGGAGCTGCCTGGGAACAAGTGGCGAAGCCGCTTTCTGAGCAAGCTGGAGGGACGTGGCCATTGCTTCGCATTGCTCCCCGCGTGTCTGACACCAATTTGGGGACAGTCACCTTTGCCCCCCTCCCTGCGGTGGCAGCTCGTGGGGCTCCGTGCCTGTGGGCTCCGGGCAGGGTCAGGAAGGCAGGCAGTGAAGGGGCAGCCTCACCCTCCCCACCATTGGTTTTGAGGCAGTTTGGGTCTTTTGCAGGCTTTGGTTTGCCAGGAACTCCCGCATGGGCTTACAGGACATCCTGCACTGCACATACGGGTGAAGCAACGAGTGGCTGCTTGTACAGAGAGAATTAGGAGGGGACAATTGTGCTATTCCAACCTGCAGCTAGTAAAATATAATAACATGTGTAAGTTGTTTTTACTGCCCGTCCAGCTTATTAGTTAATAAAAGAAGCTTAGCATATTAAACGTTGCTGGCGTGGTTTATCAAAAGACGAGAGCAACCCTCGTGCTTTTCCCCTGCTATCACCCAAATATGTGATTCCCTCACCCATTTTATCCTCTAAGCTCCTCTGGAGGAGGAGAAGCCCATCTCTTCCTCCAACACCGCTGCACTCCTTCAAACACCCTCTGCACTGCCAGGCATGAAACGCCATAATACATCGTGTTCTTGTAAGAGGGGAAAATGCACATACAGCGTTGGATGTCACCTCACTGGGGAACGGCAAAGGGAGAAACACCATGGCTGTTTCTCCACACCACCCGATGAATTCCTGCCAGCAGTTTCCCTGCGAACAAGAGGATGCCTTGCACCAGGCGGGCTTTGCCGGCCGCAGCTGTACAAAGAAAATCAGGGCAGATGCTCCCAACACGGTTGCCTCTGGGATGAAGCACAGCAGCACTGTACAGAAGGTGACCACATCGAACCGAAACCACGGGGGAAGCTTTCTGGCTGGCAGAAGGTGACAGCCCACCCTGGGAAGCAGCCAGGGCAAACCCCCTGCTCCCACAGCAGGAGCCCTGGGGTCTTCAGACGCGCTGCTATCTCCATCCCACACAGAGCTGGTGGTGTCGTTGACTTTACGACTATAAATTATTGATGTGGGAAATGTCAAATCATAAAACAGCAGAAAAAGAAATCTTATGAGCGTGAAATGGAAACGCTGCTCCCACTGTCCTTCGATGCAGCCTCTCGCTTTGGCTCTCTCTTGGTCCAGTCACTTGGTCTTGCAGGGAGAGGACCCAGGAGCAAAATCCTCCCTGATTTGCACTTCAGATCTGTTATCTGGCTTTGCACGGCAGATTGAAGAGGGAGGTTGTGCTCTGTGTTTGCAACTGAAAATGAAACGTGATAACATCTCCAGAGTGGAAAATTACAGAGGCTAACAGTAAGTAAAGCCCATAGCAGTATGAATTCAGCTCCTGACGGAGCCAGGGCTAGGTGCCTTGGGGTGCTGCCTTCACCTCCTCACAGCAGACTCAGGGCTCCTCTCTCCTGAACTCAAAAATGTGGGGTTTAACGTATTCCTGCTTGAAACGCATGCCAGGAGCAAACAATGACACAGTGGAAAAATCAGTGCAGAACAGAAATGCAGGGATTTATTAAAGAAATCCATTTGGAGGGGAACGGGTTTCCTGCTTGGACAGAAGGTTGTACTTCCCCATAACACCCGTGTTACTCTGCACACCACAGACCCACCTCAGGAGGATGCTAAAGGATTTTTAGCAAAGCAGAGAACAGCATCACCTCGCTGCTAAGCCCTGTCTGCAGGGCCCTCGCAGGGACAGCACCATCACCTCTTACCTGGGTCATCTTGGCGAGGTCCAGTGAGGGCCGTTGCTCCTGAACCTCCTCCGGTCTCCGTCGCTTGACCCCGACCTTTTTGTCGTTCAGGACACAGGGCTGTGAACGGCTTCGGGAGAGCCCGCCAGCCCGTCGCTCCAGCTCCGGTGTGGAGGCAGGCGTGCTGCTTGCCGAGGGTGAGCCGTACTCCGAGGAGGAGAAGCGGTCGTGTGAGCAGGAGAGGGACCTCTGCATGTCCACCCGGTCTCCTCCGTGCCCACCAGTAGCCGATTTCCTTAGCTGGCATCCCAGCCGGCTGCTGAGGGCGGGATGCTCGCAGGAGAGTGGGTTGGACCGCGAGGGCAGGCTGAAGGCCGTTTCTCAACCGGGGTCCAAACCTTCGAGCCTAAGGGTCTCCACAAGGTCCCGCAGCTCGACATTTCATCTGAAAATGAGAGCGAGCGACACTGGCGCTTGCTGGGGGGGGCTGAGGGGTTGCCGTGGGGGTCGCTGAGGCTGAGGTCTTTGATCAGGTTGGTGACGGAGCAGGTGCTGGCCGTCT